TCCTCACCGGCGGTTTGAGACTCTTCAGGCCCGAATATTTTGACAATCTGTGACTCTTGGGAGCCTAAAAGAGGGGGGGGGGGATGATGGGGAGCTGTGATCGTGTGTACCACTACGCTCACAGGAACACGTGGTAGCTAAGTTCTTTGTTCGACGCAAGTCGGGGTAAGGGCTTGACATTAATTCCCTGAGGCTATGGTTCTTGAAAACCACTCGCGAAAGTAAATTAACATTCGCGAATGTTAGTTTGGGACAAATGGGGGGAGGGGGGTCGGTTACGTTTCCACGTCCTACAACATCGTACACGGGAGAACATTAAAAATGTTTCATCACATTCAATCCCATGCCGTCCACATAACATCCAAACATCCTTAGTTAAATCGTACAATCATACACGTGTGCGGACACAACGCAACTAATGCAACACAACGCATCGCCGAATGATGCCGCGAATGTTGAGGTTGCATGACACCTTGGACGCCGATGCTGATGAGCTTTGGAGGGAATCTTCGTCGGGGGGCATCGTGGTCGACGGACTGCTGGGCGATTCCTCGACCGAGCTTGCACGTTGAGGTTTAAGGCTTGAGCCGCCTCCTCCCCCAAACGCGTGGCTGGAAACAGCCCCTTTGCTGGATCGAAAGGGCTTCGACCACCAAACACCTCGTACAAGTCCCACCAGCATCATCACCGCCACCACCGACGCATGGTCCTTCTCGCCGATTAGTGTGACACTTGAAAGGCAAATTTTTATTTAAAGCTTTCGAGACTGCAGGGACTCATATTCTTGGTTCTTTCGGTAAAGTCACGTAGAAGGGAAATAATCAAAGAATAAATTATTACACGTCATTAAATAAAATTTTCACGACGTTTCGGCCACAACGCAAGCAGCCGTCCTCAGCCGTCCTTGCGTTGTGGCCGAAACGTCGTGAGAATGTATTTTATTATGTTTTATTTTTATTATTTTATTATTTCCCTTCTACGTCACTTTACCAAAAGAACCAAGAATACTTAAAAGGCACTTTTTTATTTTTTAAAGTCCGATCTTCGATCCACAAGTTCAGCATTTATCTTCCATGACCCCCCTCCCCACTCGATGTTTCCATCGCGTACTTGAGATAGTGCCACCTACCCATCAACCTCGCTTCTCTTCCACGATGACCACAACTCCTGTCGACTCGCTTACCGTGTCATAGCGGACCCAGCAAAGACAAAGATCCCCCGTGTAGCCTTAACAGACTCTTGGGGCAAGTGCTGTTAGCGAGCACCTATGAAGGCCGGCACAGCACAGGAGGGGGTGGGTGGCCAACACCACGCCCGGCCGCCTTTGTCTCCCCGGTGGCGATGTTTACTACACACCACACTGGGTACTCATTTGAGGCCGAGTCGACCTAGGGGAGGCCCGGGACTGGTTTGAATAATCCTCACACTGGGTGTTCGTGGCCACGAGCGGGAATCGAACTCGGGTCGCCAGGTTCGTAGTGCAGCGCTAACCACCCCCAGACGCAAGTCACCACGACCAATATTCATATTCTTAGGTTTTTTCGGTGAAGTCACGTAGGTAAAACATTAAAATTAATAAAAGTAAAATAAAATAATATAATAAAATAAAACTTTGTTTTTACGGGTTATAGACCAAGTCTATGCAACAACATAAATGACAAGTATAACCCGTAAAAACAAAGTTTTTCACTATAAATCCTTTATATGCGTGGCGGCTAGAGTCCTCTCGTCCTCTGGCTTGAGATGGCTGCCACCTATGGGTCAGATGATTGCATTGCACCGTTAAGCAATTGGTAATTAAATATAATATTTTTGTCCTAAAAAGTGTAAAATTTTGGAAAAAAAATTGTCACGAACATTAATTGTCACGCACAACGAGTCTGTGTGGAAAATGTCAGCTCGATTGGATCACGGGAAGTGGGTTAAAAAACGACCGAAAGATTTGCACGGTCGTAAGCAAGCAAGCGAACTTAATATAAAGGATTTTAAAATAGTAATTTTTCTTTCTCCGAATTAACAATAACAACAAAACACCCCCCCCCCTAAATATTTTAAAAGCCGCGATGCACATGGTGAATACGAGACGGTGGGACTTTAATCACAATAATAAATACAATTATGGGGCGCCACGGTGGCTAGGAGATGTTAACTACCTCGCCTGGTATGCAGGAGGCCGTGGGTTCGATCCCGAGCCTGACGCCTGCTGCTGCTGTATATTTGTAGTTTGCATGTCCGGTTTTTGCCTCCACATTTATAATCAACAATATGAGTTTTGAGTAGTTGGCTGCTAGAAATGTGCACGTGATAAGCCACTTCGTGTCGTTGAGCTATCATTTGTGGCCAGTCGCTTCTGAAAAATAGCTTCATAGCTCAGTGGGCCTTACCTGGTAAAATGTTATATATAGTTGTATTTATTCACTAAGCAGTCCTGAAAGAACCACAAGTTGCCGAGCCCTGTGCAACTAAACTCACCGCTCTTTTCTGTATATTTTTTTAAACTCTTGCTATCACTTCCTCCACTCACCGTCACTCAGCCTCCATTATCGAAATAACAAACAAAAACCCACCGCAAATAAGGCAAAAAATAACACGAAAAACAATGACACTTGAAGAGTCGAAAAAAACCCAAGCCAAACAACAGTGCCCCTTCCCCAGAACGCGACATTTTGCCAAATCGCGAATAAGCGAGGGAAAAAGTCGCGAAAGTTGAACCGGTGTACAAAAAAATTTAAATCGTGAAAAGTCGAATTTCGCACAAATATAATCTGCCAATGAAGAGGTTTGACTGTACATTTTAAATAATTAGCATCACCATCATCATCACGGTCCATGGGCAGATTGCCCATAGGTGCCCCCTGCACATTTCGTAATTTTGTTTCCACGTTTCTCTGCCTTATGCCAATATGCTCAAGTAGTGAAAGAATATAAAGTTTGTTTTTAATATTCTTCCTTCAGAAAAAAATCTTTCTCGGGCTTCTAAGACCAAATGTTTGCGCATTAGCTTGACGGTTGTATTTATTGTAGCGTACTTCAAAGTAACATTGCAGTTAAAATACGAGGCTGTAGTCGATGCTTACCTCCACACGCTAGCATTATGGATTTCACAGTATTCACAGTATTTATGAGCATTTCTCATGACTAGTTTATTAAAAAAATTGTCATCTGAAAATATTTGCTACTCGCACAACACGTGTCAACATTTGGCGGGAAAATTACCTCAAAGCCCCAAAACTTGTATCTGGAGCACTGGGCATGTACATTGAAGTCTGTTTATAAATGATAGTCTTAATAATCGCAATTTCACCCTTTTGCTCATTGCCTGATGAAGTGAACTCGTTGTGCCAAAACAAGCATGATTTGCTGGCACAATTTCCCAATGCATGTTTGTCCTTTGCCATCAAAGGAGTTGGGAAAGTTGCTGCACTGATTTCCATCCAGGGAGTTCGCATTCACGATGCTCACGGTTGTTGAGCTTCGTTTCTTCAGAAACTGCCGACGAGGATTCGTCAACGGTCGTGGGGAGTTTTAGATGGTTGGGATGAGTGGCCTTTGGAATGGCTGAACTAACCCATGGCATTGAGAATTATAGTTTTTTTATTAGGTGCTTTCAATACCTCTGGGCGATTCGGAGAATTGTCGCAATTCTGGGGGCTCACGATTTGACTCGCATATTGTTTGCGTGTTTATTTTCACGTTGTCGTGCCTTCTCGTTCGCATTTTCTATTACACGCAGAGTATTGCGTGTTTTTTTTATTTTACTTCGTAAATTGAATGGCTCTCTTGTGCAGTGCAGCTATAGCATTTGCACTTGGGGAGACAAAGGCACCCTGGGAGTGGATCCGCTCCCCCCACCCCTCACACACATTTCGTGCTGATTATACATCATCAGACGTGGTCAATCGACTGCTGAATGAAGGCCTTGCCAAGCCTGAACAGGCCCCTGAGTAGATTTGTGTGGGTTCTTGGCTGTTACTTGTGAATGTTTATCGTAACACAGGTTATCTCGTGAATACTACTTTAAATAAAGTAGACGTGATTTGCAAATGTTATTACCTCTCTTTTGACAATACATTGAATGTTTATATAATTTTCGGGTGAAATAAGTATCTCCTCTGTTTCAAAATGATCACGCTGTGAAATGCCAAGCGCCAAGGACATCATGACAAGGTGCCAGGCAGGGCTTAATCTATCACTAGATATATTATAGATTGCTTCTAAACTGGAGTAGGCAGGTGTCTGGTAGCCACAGTCATAGCGAGAAGTATACTGGATGTGGTGTGCTGGCTGCAAACATGTTTTTTCAGGTTGCAGACCACCAGAGCTGAATGTGTGGCCGTAATGTTGCTCAGACCACCAATTCACAGAGTTGGAAATTGCGACCTCCTAGTCTCCCATCAAAGCACAAACCAGGCTCAGCCCTGGTCATCTTGCCAGAGCTGATGAGATCGAGAGGGTGGATTGGTCATCCCCATCGTAATTGACCCCTTGACCCTCAACTCCGGTAGAGATGCCTGTCCATTTGGAGCCCTGAGCAGAATTCATATCTGGGTGCATCACTTGACTACAAACATCATTAACTGGACAAGCTACGTAACTTAACTTTTTCACAGTTTCTTGAAATAGTGAAGGTAATAGTACTAATTGTAGTACAGTCAACAATATTATATAAGAACTATGCGCTTTTTTAATAGCTTTAATAGGACCTGAGTCCAGCCGATGGTTAGTGTATCCAGGGCTTAATTTCAGCCGGGGGAGGGTTCCATTGGGTTGCGAATTGGAGGGCCAAGGAAAATATTCCACTGCGAAGGTGCACGTCAAATATCTTTTTTTTACCAATAAGCCAGGTTAACCCCCCCCCCTCATGGTGACTGTGGACATTTGCATAGCTCGCTTATGCCTTCGCACCGCCACCGCTCAACGCACGTCTATGGGTCCCAACCCCCTTCCTGTCCACCCCGTGCTCCTCCTGTCTGTCCGCGGCCACGACGACGACGCGCCAGCAATCGCTGGCCGAGAGTCAGGAGGAGCACCTGACTCGCTCGGAGCGGCTGGTGGGCTGGGTGCAGGCCATGCATCGCTCGCTCGGGGAGAAGCAGAGGCGGGACAGCGGGGAGGGAGGTGCGGGCGGTGAGGAGGGCAAGAGGGAGCCGTCGGATGCCGCTGAGCTGGAGCGCAGCCTCAAGGAGCAACAGGTGATGACCGACATTCAGGTGCACTTGTTGGTGGTGGCTACGCGGCAGCGAGGGTTGGGGGGGGGTCACCACACAAATGTTGTGAGGCTCCCTTCCCGTAGGGGCGTCGAGGTGGTGCCGTTCCTTGGGTCGCCAGCGTAATGCAGTGCGGAGATTGTTGACTAATCGCCATCTGAATGGGATAGAGTGTTTCCCCTTCACACGCGTTGGTTTTCTCCAGGTGCTCTGGTTTCCTCCCATATGTAAATACTTGTTAATTGGCCGATAACACCTTAATATATAGAGGATTGCAGAGCTGAGTGGGGAAACGATTTGATACCGGCTCACCGTATCGTTGATACCTTCCCGTTAGTCTGTGGCACCAACTCGCGCCCCTGAGTTATTCTTCCTCCGTCCGTCAAATGAGGGCCTACAACATATGACGACCCAAGGTCCTAATATTAGTACAGGAATTAGTTGAGCCCTGCTCAAAGGACTTTCTGATGGGCGAGCTTCGTGGATGATTTTGACACTGCCTATCTGAGAGTGGGGATAATCGAGAGGTAAGTGTGTCGTCGCAGCCACGCAGGGACGATTCTCTCCCTTGACTCGCTCTTGTTTGCCGCTTCTTCTTGCAGAGCTTCGCGGAGGAGCTGTCTGGCCGCAAGGAAGAGATCGCCGAGGCCATCCAGAGGTCTCAGACCTTCCTCGCCCTCTGCGGAGACAAGTAACTCCCCCCCCCCCCCGACCTGGCCTCAGACTCTGTTGCTTAAGAGCCTTAAGCCCGGGTTCCTAAAACCTGAGCAATAGGTCGCGTGAATCCGAATCAGCTCTCGAAAAGAAACAAAACGCAACTTAATCGTCGCCCCCCCCCCCCCCGCAGCCGCTTTGTCCACATCCGAGCAAGTAGTTGTGCAGCAAGGGGAAATTAAACGGGGTATATTTCAGGATTTTAACGACGAACCGGAGTTCGCAAATGTGTCCCGCGATGAGATTCGTCACTACAAATTGCTGAGCAGATCGATGCTTGAATGGAGAGTCTGTCAATACTGTGAGCGACTGGTTGCGCAACTGCTCGCAACCGGTTGTACGACTGTTCGCAACCAGTTTCAGAGATGTCCTCATACAAGCGAGTCAGATTCATGCAAACGAGTTGCACAAACCTATTGCTCGGGGGTGCAGGCAGCTTAATGAAACATTTGTCGCCCTCTGCCTCAAAGGATCAAACATGTCACACACTGCAGCGCTTGTTGTGCGAGACTGAACAGTTGTTTATTGGCATGAATACTTGCTCCCACGTGTTCTGTCGGGTAGTGCTGGGAACGTCAAGTCTGAAAAGGGAAAAAAAAGTGAAAGGGGCATTGTGGAGGTGCCAGAGGTGATTCTACGGGTGGGATTAGGATCAGTGGAAGGAATAGGCCCAGTAGCTGGTGAGATGGAGTTAGTAACAATGGGAAGGCTAGTACTCGTGGGGTTATTGGGAGGTCTAATACCTGGGTTGTGCGAAGGTCAGTTGAATTACTAGAACTTGGGCCTGGTTTGGTGAATTGCCGATTATAGCACTGCATGGCCAGGTGGCTCAGCGATAGAGCGAATAAGTTGCAAGTTCCGATTCTGGTTTGGGGTTAACTCGGCCTATCAACCCTCCGGGTCCGATAAAATAGGGACCACTTTGTGGTGAAGTCAACATTGGGCGTCTTATCCACAGACTGTCCCACATGATAGGCAGGTGGAATTCTGCCACCGGTTCAGGGCTGTAAACAGGCGATGAGCACCACCTCAATGCTCATTTGAGTAGGAGATCGCCGATTCCTGATGATGCCCAATTGCTAATTGCTGATGATGCAGATGTGCCCATTGCTCATCTCCCTCCAGGCTGACCCCGGAGCAGTACCAGGCGGTGGATTCTCAGACGCAGCAGCTGAAGCAGGCGTACGAGGCTCTGTGCGAGCAGTCGTCGGCCTACACGCAGGAGCTGCATCACAGCCTGCAGCAGGAGAACAGTATCAAGGTATCACGGCGTCGCCGTGGCAACCAGATGCTTGCCAGGCCCACATGCATTCATGTACACACTCGGGCATAATGCTGGCCTTTAAAGGCGAATAACGCTGACACACACAGGCGCAGATGAAACCGACGATGCCCTACGTAGCTGTGTGCAATGTTTGGGAGATAATTATTTGAGCGAGCAACAATTAGTTTTATTTTACGTTGATAAGCCACGTGAGGAATGAGACGTGTCCGTGAAGACGCACACCGACGGGATGGAGCAATGAAATCGGCTCGCGTGCATGTGCTGCGTCATTGCGTCACATGATCGTGGGGAGGGGGGGAACAAAAAATCAGCGACTTGGGGAAACCTTCATCGAGCAGCGGATTGGCCATGGCTGTTGATGATGAAGCCGTATGACAGGTGGAGGAGAAGAGGGAGGTCTTGAGAAAGGACCAGAGCACGGGGATGGAGTTAGTGATGCAGACAAGAATAGGGAATGTGTTGTTCTAGACTACGGAGGAATAGAGGAGGAGTGACCACCTTAGTGAGCAGAGTTTGACAGGAGATCGGTTGACTATGGGAAGGCGTAGCTCGTGTGCAGATACCACGCACGATACCCCCCCCCCCCCCCGACACACACTACCTTTTTCACGATGACATTTTTTTCATTGAGTCAAACGCTAAATAAACCGCACAAAACTTTCATTTATAATTTATCATTTGTCTCGTGCAAAACGGCAAGAGTAACAGACTGGCTCAAATCAGTGTTTTGTAAACACGGGGACATTGCTCTGTGCATTGCAGACGTGGTACGCGCGCGTGAGTGCCGATGCTTTAACCTGTCAATGGCTTCCAATGCTTTGTCGAATGGTGCAAGTGCATGGTGGACTGTGTTTTATACCGGGTGTTGTACCATATTCACACCTTCAGCAGCGGGCCACATGTCACATTACATATGTGGGCAGTGTGGATGTTTAAAGACTTGTCATTTTCAGGTTTCGTTTTTTTTCTTCAAATGTAATTAATACAGTCGATTCTTGATTATCCGGGGGTGGGGGGCGGGGGAGGGGGGTAATGGGGTTATAGGGGTGGTGCGGATATAATAAAACATGATAAATACAAACTGGCCATGTAAATGAATACCTGTGGAGAGTGGGGGAGGTTGGGGGAAAACTTAAGAGTGTGTTACAACTGTTTTAGAGCTTCTTAAAATAATCCGCTTACTTGCCCACGTGTGTTTGCGATCACGTGGGCAAACAAGTCGCCGTCCCCCGACGAGTGAGGAGCAGCTGATAATTGACCCAATGTGCACGGAAAAAGGTGCGAACGAGCACATTTAATCCACGGTCCGCATAAAATACACCCACAGATAATCGAGAGGTTTCCTGTATTGATTTAATTTGGCCCACACTGCCCAGACACACTGGGATAACAAGATGTGGACTGTGTCGCATGTTGGTGGTGGTTCGTTATCTGTAAACAATCTTCAAAGGCGTGCGTTGTTGTTGTTAACATTGCATTTTGAGCTTAACCCGAACGGTGTGATCTCTTGCTTCGGAAGTACTAACCCTTGGCGTGTCGCCGTGATGGATTCGAGAGAAGCTCTGTTTAACCCGACGGCTTTCGCTTTGCCCTAACGAGCATGTGCCGAGTTCAGCGGTTGCGCAGATCTGTGTTTTGTCCCTTTGCAAGACCTAACGTCTCACACTTCGCTCAATGTTACAACCGAGTTCTCACCTTTGCTGACCTGGTAAGTACAAACAGCAGTATCCGAATGTTAAACAATACGGTAGGGTGGGGTGGGGTAAGAGGCCTATGTGGGGTGAAAGGTCTTTTTATCCTGGTGCTAACAGAAGTGATGTCATCAGCCACCATGATCAGCTTGACCTGCATTGTGGCACCAGCTGCTGCTTAATGCAACAGACAAGCTACGTGTGAGCTCCAGGACAATAAAGGCCTTTCACCCTACGTATGCCTCTTACCCCACCTGACTATTTTAGTTTTTATATACAATAGAATATACTAAGTTTTATAAATAACATGAGCGGATACCGCATGTAAAATGGTAGTTTTTTGGGGGGACCCATATACACTTATTTTGAGAAAATTAATGCCTGTTTTGACACATTTTCACCTTGTACAAACGAGCATGGATTTTAATGCAGAACTTACATAACGCATGAATACATGTTGATTAACCCTAACCATCAAATATAATTAACATTATGTTGTGTAAAAATATAAGATAATAGTTGTGTATGAGCATAACTGAACACATGGCCATTCTGTGCAAAATATCATTTGTGTCATTGCCTGGCAATACCAGTTTTTCACTTTGCAGCCATTTTGTCTCGCACGGGGAATGGTCATAGTGCAAAATTGCCGCCTGTGCAATGAGATACATGTCAACAAAACACCTTGTGTGCGCTCTGCTTTGCAGGTGGACGATGTGATCTCCGGAGTGGTGGACCTGTGTACCATGGAAACCTTCCCAATATTCCATGCCATGCTCAAAGGCCTGATCGATCAGGAGACGGGCCTGGCCCTCCTAGAGGCACAGGTGGCCACCTCGGGCATCGTAGATCCTCGCTCCTCGTGTCGCCTTCACCTGGATGAAGCCCTGGCTGAAGGTCTCATGGATAAGAACACGGCTGAGAGCCTGTGGGAGCTCGAGTCCGCCCTGAGTCGCGTCCACGCAGCTGGGCTTGAAGATGTTGGAGGTTTGATTTTCATTGCGGCAGCGCTGGAAAGAGGGCTGATGTCAGAAGCCATTGCTGTGAAGTTGATGGAAGTCCAATTGACAGTAGTTGGACCTCAAAATTGCACTCCTGTGCCAGAAGAATTCTTAAGGCTGCAGGAGAATTGGAGGATGCACACACAGCCTCTGATCGACCCGAACACGGGAGAGAAGCTCACCCTCGCAGAGCTGACCGGCAGAGCCATCGCTGATCCAGAAACGGGGCTCCGCCTGCTGCCCGTCACCCAGACGGCCTGCGGCATGATTTCACTCAAGCCCGGCCGGAGGGTAAGCATTTGCCGTGCTGTCAAGGAAGGCCTCGTGGACCGCCAAGTCACTGTGAGGCTTCTCGAAGCCCAGCTTTTCGCTGGCGGCATCGTGGACCCGCGCACGGGCCACCGCCTGACTGTCGAAAAAGCACGGCGCCATGGCCTGATTGACCGGGAAATGGCGAACGAGCTGGTGGTGCGGCAGACCCAAGCCGGCGGGGTCATCGACCCTGCAACGGGCGACAGGCTTGACCTGGAGGAGGCCATCGCCTCCGAGCTGATCTCGCTGAAGAGCGCGCTCTTGGTCCTTGAGGCACACGGCACATTCCGCGGGTTCGTTTGGCCCGGCTCTGTCGGGACGGTGCCCATTTCGGAGGCTCTCGAGCAAGGGATGATGAGGGTCGAGGTTGGGCACAGCGCACTTTCCAAGCGGCACTGTGTGGCAGGGCTATTCTGGATGGAAACAGCAGAAGCCGTCTCTCTGAAGCAGTCGGTGGCCTCAGGGATCTGCGACGAGGCCCTCTGCCGCACATTGAGTGCCACTCACGTCCCGGACAGCATGGGCACACGTGGAACGAGGACTCATGCAAATGAGGGCGATGAACAAATTATCGGTGTGCACCCCTCTCCAAGTATCCCCCTGTGCAGCAAACTTTGCAAGGTCTCTCACGTCTCTCAAATGAAAGGCATATGTGCAGTGCAGGGAGATTGGGTGCAGGTTGTGGGCGAGCATGCCTCCACAACAGAAGCCCACAACTTAATGGGCTTGGAAGTCGAGCTCGTAGAGTTTATACGGGGGCACAGCTACATAAACGCGCTGACGGGGGACCGGTTGGTTATGGTGGACCGAGATTTCCATCTCCTCGAGGGAATCGCCCGTGAGATTTGCAAGATGGCCACGGCGGAGTGCGAGGGTGCAGACAGATACTCTACGCGGAGTGAAGCCATCGTGCCAGACTGTGAACAAATCTCAGGGAGAGAAAAGAAACGTGATTTTTACACATGCCCACAGCGGGACTGTGCAGGCTACGAGTGCGACAGTTTTAATGTGAATATCTCCGTGGATATTTTTGATATGTCGATGAAAAGTTGTAACGACGACATTCGTCAAGATGACGTGGCTGGTTCATTGAATGCGCAGCAGGACTGTGGTGGTAGAGTCAATGGGGCCGAGAGGGATGGAAGTATTCATGAACATTTTAAAATATTTATTCCAGAAGAAAATGCCGAACCCATGAGTGAAGTGGATTGCGGCAGACCAAACATGCGAGACCAAAGAGAAGGGTGTGCAGGAACAGACGAGGAAGCCACCGTGAGTAGAAATGCAGAAACGTTCTGCACAGTTAAACGTGAAGTGAAGCAAGAGCTAAATTATAAAACTAATTTGCACAATCAGAGTGATTTTTCCGAAAGCGTAATGTTAGAAAATAACTCAAACCTCGAATTTGAAGAAGCAACATGTGTAGCGCTTCAAACTGTGAAACGTGCATCGTTGAAAGCGATTGCAGAAGGCGTATCTTTAATCCAGAACGAACATTCTCACGAACCACAAGACAGATGGCCATCATATGACGATACGTGTATGGATATTCCTCACGATGGTGTGACGTGTTCTCTAGACATTATAGGCCATGCAAAGCCAACAGAAAGCACTTCACGAACCAAAGAGGACGAAGATCAGTCCCGGGTTGACAATGGAACTTCCTCTGTGGACATGGAGTCGAATGACTCTGATAGCGTTGAATCCTGGGACTCGCAGATTTACGTTTTAGACCAAAGCCGACTCGATGATGCATCTCCCGTGACAAACGTAGCGCCGTGCGTGCACCTATCATCTCTGCAATCCCAGGCCACTACGGGGCACTGCTTGAGGTCACCTCTCAATGCAGAGATCACGACGGTGCAAGATCTGCTTAACGACAGGCTTATTAGCTTGGAAAACGCCAGAGACCTTCTAGAACGCCAGATTCAAGCCGGAGGCATCATGGACAGAAGTGGCAAACAGCTTAGCCTCCAGGAGGCCGAAGGGGCGTGTATTGTTGAACCAGCTCTTGCTACATGTCTACATGTAGCTTTTTTGGCAGTGCAAGGTTTTCCAGACCGAAGCAAGGGCAAAATATCGCTGTTTGATGCTATCAGGAAAGGGCTTGTGGGTGCGGCTGAAGGCACAAGGCTGCTCCGTTTGCAGGCCGAAAGTGGTGGCATTTTGGACCCATCGACGGGTCAACGGTACGGGCTGGGAATGGCCGTGGACCGGGGATTAGTGGACACAGAGGCGGTGATGGACGTTTGGATGTCTCAGCTGAGGGACAGAGGAGCGATCTGCGACAGTGTGGGTGGTCCCTGGATGACGCTCGACGAGGCGGTGGACAACGGGACCTTGCCGATGCAGGCGGCTTTGAAGGTGTACGAAAATCTTGGACTTTTCGGCGGGTTCGTGGATAACCATGCACAGGAATTCATGACGATCTCGGAAGCTCTGGAAGAAGGTATTTTTGATGCTAAGCTGGCGCAAAGGGTGTTCAAGCCAGAAAAGATCATTAGCGGTGTGATACATCCGACGACGGGAAGGGTTCTCACTGTGAGTGATGCTGTAAACACCGGTCTCCTTGACACGGAGACGGGCCTGAGAATTTTGGAGACACAGGTGTGCGCCGGCGGGGTCACAGACCTCCGGCGCAAGAAGAAGCTGTCAGTCACACTCGCCGCCAAGCTGGGGCTCGTGGTCGGAGGGGCGCCTGGTGTGGAGGCCCTGATGAAGCTGGAAAAGGCGTCCAGGGGGAAGGATGTGGACGCAGCGACACGGCAAAAGCGAGCATCAATCTGCATGGAGACCGAGGGTCTCGTCGACCCCCAAACCAAAAGTGTGGTCACCCTACCCGAGGCGGTTGACAGGGGCCTGCTGGACAAAGAGACTGCCGTGCTGCTGCTCAGAAAGCAGATTGCGCATGGAGGGGTCGTGCACCACCAGTCGGGAATGAGGCTTCGACTGAGCGACGCTCTGGCACGCGGGCTCGTGGATGAGGACACCGTGGAGGAGCTGTCCTGGGTCGAGCAGGCCTGCCGACAGGGCTTCGTGCACCCGGAGACGATGGAGGCAGTTCCCTTAGCACATGCCAGGGAGATGAAGATTTTGGACGAGAGAGCAGCAGAGGAGCTTGAGGCTCGGCTCGCGGAATGCGGCGCCGTGTTCGACTTCAGGTCGGGCAGGACGGTCGCCCTCAAGAAGGCCGTGTCCCTGGGCATTCTGAGCGAGTCGGCCGTGGTGAGTGCTGGCGGATCGTGGGATGTGACGCACGGCCTCCTGGATCCCGACAGCTGCCAGATCGTGTCGTACGCGTCGCTGGTGCAGAAGGGTAAGACGGACGTGCGCACGGGGCAGCGGTTCCTTACGACCGAGCTGTGGAAAGGCGTGGAGAACGAGGAGACTGGAGATCGCATGACGCTGCTGGAGGCGGTGAGGGCGGGGCAAGTGGATGCCGTGCCAGCACTTCGGGCCTTGCAAGCTCAGGCCGACACCGGTGGGATTGTGGACATATGTTCGGGCGAGAGAATCTGCATTGTCGACGCCCTCAAAAACGGCATGCTGGACGCGGCTACGACGAATGCAATTTTGGAGAATCAGCTGGCCAATGGAGGCATCGTGGACATTTGGTCTGGGGAGAGGATGACGCTGGATGAAGCCCTCGTAAGAGGTCTATTGACTCGCGACATCTACCAAACACTGAAGGCCAAGAGTAGCTCCGTGTCGGAAAAATCCGACGCGGCGAGTAAAAGCGCTCAAATGCCAACGAATTCATCTGCAAACAATATTCAAGCTGTTTCTGAAATAACACACAGTGAAAATGATCCTCGTAAACAGAACCAATCTCTGGCAGAGAAAACACACGAGCAGCAGTGCCAGAGCCATCCCGCAAATGATGCGGTTAATCCTGAAATAGAGTCGATTTCCAAACAGTTTTCTCACGGCAAGGAGAACAGTGCCCTTGCTTCTGCGACAGTAATATCGATTGAGGAAGCCGGAGGCAAAAGGGTGCGAGCACTGCACAATCATTTCACGCGCGGCTTGCATAACGACAGGGAAGTTTTTGAAGCAACAGAAGAAATGATCGATGGCAATCTTGATGAACGCGCCAAGAGCGGCACACACGGTGCAGGGCAAGGGATTTGCGGGTTTGCGTCAAGTGACGCAGAAACAGAGGTGGAGGGGCAAGAAGGAAAAGTGAAAAAAGTTGACAGTGAGGAGAGCGATGCAGATGGTGATGCGGATGTTGATTATGGAGCACGGCAAGGATCCGGAAGTGATCGAGCGAACGTTGACGCAGTGAAACGTGGACGTGGGCGATCGCCCGGGCAAATTGCTGGCGAGGAGACGAATGAGATGGGCATGTCACAGGGGATGTTGGAGAAGGCTGGAAATATGAATGTGACCGATGGCACTGAAGTTGGGGAAAATTTGGAGCACGGACGCAGGGAAATTGTTGACGAGCGGATGAATGAGATGCGCTCTTCAGAGGGAATGCAGGAGAAAGCCGAAACAATTGCGGTAAATCTGATACGTTCACAAAAATCGCAACCAAAAGAAGCTTTGGACAGATGTGACCCCGTGGCCGATTCCTCAAAACAGGTTGGCACATACGCAGCACACGTAATCATCAATTATAAGACGTGTTTTGTAATGTCTAACATATTGTCAAGAGGGTATTTGTGGGAGGTGGCTGGTAGCTCAGAGAGTCAAAGGGTTCTGATTAAATCGTATTCTCAGGTGGAGTGAGTTCATGGTCTCAGCTCGTTCGGGAATAACCACACAAAGAAACCCATCTTTTTATGTATGAATATTCATTAATTGGCTGGAAAGATCTTTATAAATAGAGGACTGCAGAGGTCGGGCAGTCAATGGTAGCACCAGCTTATCGCCTGGCTGCCTTCCAGCTTGTCTGTGGTTCCTCTGGAAATTTTGCGCGAACGACGCTAAAATAAAATTAAGCATTATTGTTAAATGAGGGGCTTTCACTTAATTCGGCTAAATTTCCACTCTGACAATTAAAAAAAACGCATCTGTTTGACTGCCACGTGCGTGCCAACCCACAAGACATGCTAAAGTGCGGCCCTTAGTGTGTTTGTGTAGATGTAAGAAAGGGTCACTGATGGGGATCTTGGTAGTACTTCTGTGACGTCTCCCTCTGCGGACCGCTCGTTTTACGAGAGGTCAAAAGAGGAATTGTAATCAAATTTCGAATAAGATAAGAACGTTGAAAACTAATTTGTGACTGTCTAACGAATCTACGTATTTTTTTCCAGCATTCTCTGAGCAAGCGGCAGTGTCTGGAGCACTTTGAGAATGTGATGAGGTTGATTTCGTTGGTTCTGGACGTGAGAGTTCGGCAGAAGAGCCTACAGCGAAGCGGCAGTGATGTCGATATTGAAGATCAGCTCGATCGATTGCGGGTGAGTTTGTCTGTCTGTGCGTTGTCCACAGCTCCAAATGTAATATATATATAAATACCACAGGGTCCAAAAATTGCTATGGTTCCTTAATTTTGCCCACATCTCTATCCATTACTGACCGCATTAAGCAAAATCTCAGAAGCCAACGGACGTGACCCTGGAGAACCTACAAATGGCCGCTCGCATTTCTTCCACCCCGTCCAGCTGTTCGAGGAGGAGTTGTCCTCGCTGGAGTGCGAGGCCTCCCGGGAGCTGGAGCACGTGCGGACCGCGCTATGCGACGCGAGCCCAGCCGTGCCCGCTGAGCTCCTCCAGGCTCTCGGCAAAGACTCGGCCAACCTGAGCAAGTGCCTGCGGTCGGCTCGGCAAGCCTCCTCCGCCCAGCGGGAGGCGCTGACGGAGGGCCTGCGTAAAGCCAAAGTGCGTCCGTCCTCAGTATTAAAGCTGCCCGGACGCTGCCCCTTGCTTAGCGTGAATAGTAATGTACTGTATGTTGCCCTTTTCGTTGGAACTTCTTTCTTACCGTACGTAGCCAACCGTGCCAATCGGAGGTGCGGGGGAAGGACAACGAGCCAAACACAAAATGGAGTTTTAAAGGAATGAGTTCTCAGTCTAGATTTAATAATAATAATAATATTAAGTATGAATTCGAGATATGTTTTGGGGAGAAAAGGAAAAAAAACTGCCTCCAAATCACCTGGAGTGCACCCGATCTCGCTATATCTCAGAAGCTAAGCGGAGTTGAGCCTGGATAGTTCTCGGATGAGCAACCACCGTGCCCAGCGCGTTTTATAGGCTGCTGCAGGGCTACATTGTGGGCAGCGGAGGCGACTACAGAAACGTCTATAGTTGTGCTGTACTCTGATCCCACATCTATGATCGCCACCTTGACCAGCATGGTTAAGTATGGCAAAATAAAATAAACCTGCATGGCCTTGAAAGGCCCTCTCATCCAGCGGTGGGTTGACAATAGGGCTGCACACGTGCATTCCAACACCCTAAAATGGTGACCTCTCATTAATCCACCTTTGTGGACTGTCAAAATGTTACCACCGTGAACATTCGTCGTTATTTTGTTGTTGTTGTTCCCCATTGTGGTTAGCGTAGAATCTACGTTACAGGATGTCAGCAAGGGTGTCGTCTGCAATTAAATGTAGTAGACTCCCGATTATCCGCACTAATGACAGGGGGGACGGCCACAGATAATTATTCATGTGGATAATCAATAAAAGATTCATTTTTCACGGACCTCTATGCCAAAACCCACGAATATCGGTATACAAAACAAATCGATGCGCATGCTCAGTGATAACACTTTCCTGCTCCCACGCAGAAGACTCCGCTCACTAAGTAGACAGCAGCAAAGCCACACCAATCAACATCAATGAAACTCCACCCCCCGTTGTAAAGATATGCAACTACTGTACTGTAGAGGTGATCGCTTGGATTTTGGATTAAACGGTTTAAGCACGTGACTTGTAATAAATATTTCCAAGAATAACAACTTTTAACTGTTTTTAGATTATTTATTTGGGCTTAAGGGAAACTCCATGAGTTCTTAATTTACGTCAAAATCTCAAGTATGCGGTTAATCCGCAAATCGGACAAACTGCACACGGATAATCGAGAGTCTACTGTAATCATATTCGGAAAGAAGCTAGAACCGCGAGGTTTGTATGTTGGCAACATGTTCCTTATAAACTTGAAGAAGCAAATCTAGTTGCGATGAGTGGCCCAAATCTACACCACAGAGTTTTACGTTCTGAACAATAGAGCGTTTCTATTGCCCTCTTCATATTGCCATCAGCTGACCACAATGAGCATTAATAACCTCATTTTTTTCCCTTTGCAGGAGCTAAGAGAGCAGAAGGCCACTTGTCCAATACTGACCGCAGAGGAGGTCACGGAGAGAGGTCATGTACACGAGGAGAAGGTTTGCGTCTTCAAGGACATCAACCAAAACCTATTCCCATAATTTCAGATGGCGACATTGTAACTTGAACTGTTCGATGACAAAATTAACGACGAACCTAAATCTTCTTTTGTCACTCGTTCTCGCTGTAAGGGAGGTGGCCTGTGATGCTTTACCTTCCCACGTTGTTTGCGATTTGAACCCCGGTCTTTCTCAGGCCCGGCCTTAACGTAAACGAACAAAGAATTTGAAGTGCCCTTTGGAAGTGATTCTCGGATTATATAAACGACCCCATAATTGTTGTCACTCGTGTGACGTATCCTTCGAATCGGGCGAATGCCACAAAACTCCTGAATTCATTAATTTTCGGTACCCTTCGTGGCTTACCTTCTGAGTTCTTGCCGCTGTGATTTCACACCGCAAAGGCCTGGCCTGACCCCTACTGCTAACCGTTGGGTGTCTGTATTAATGCCTCTGTATGGCCGCAAGTCTGGCTCAAATGTTTTCTCCCAGATGTCTTTGCATGGCAGCAAGAGGTCGATGGAATTTGGTGGGCAGTTACCCTCAGGCTTTGCCAAAGACTTTGTCAAGCTGTGCAGGCCAGAGCCATTTGTAAAGTTAAAATCCCTCATCATATGATAAATATGCTTCAAATCACGAATATGCTTTATCATCAATGTAACTAATATGTCATAGATAAAGACAAAAATGACAATCACGTCGAGTAAATAATATTTATGCATTTATTTTGCACATTTAAATTTACTGCATACATACATTATTTTTGTGCGCGGTCATTTTGATCAGATGCGAACGTAACATTTTGACGAATGCGGAATATGCCAAGAGCACTTGTCAAGACAATTGGCAGAACGTCCCCAACGCAAAAGCCTCGTGCAAAAGATCCTTTGAGACTCGCCGAGGCTTTCGGGAATAAACAAAAGCACACCGTTGCCATCGAAGAGGGCTCCCTTACTCTTTACGGCCTCCTGCTTGACGATGCTCTTTTGTCGATTCCAAAGCGAACATCGACCGGGAAAGCACGACGGCGGCGGTCTGCGGGTGGCGGTTTTTGCGATTTTACTCAGCTCTGTTAACCCTCTCGGCGCCTCCTAACTTCTGCTGCTGTAAACGCTCTTCCTGGGGCTTGGTGAAGATCCTGGTGTACGTGGATTGTCGGGGGGGAGGGGGGGGCAACGTTTTGTCCCAACGGTTTCAACCGCACGGCGACGTTGCCCCAACGTTGCGCATTTTACAGGCTCGGATTTTCCGTCACCTTTTGAAAATGCTCGTCCCATCGCGGGGAATGTTCCCTTTTGCGGGTTTGAAATGACAAATATATAATAGGCGCCGTTTTAGGCAATAACCCTTTGTCACAGCGCGTAAAACCCAGGACAAGAGGGAGTTTGTCAACAAAGGTGCTATGTAGAAGGGCTGTTGCCTGAATCGTCACCTGTTTTTGATTTTTCGTACGTACCGTACGTTTAACTTCTATCCAAGCGTGCCAATCGGAGGTGTGGGGGAAGGACAAGAAACTGAACACAAAAGGCAGCTCTCAGAAATGAGTTTTCGAATCCAGATTTAAAAGCGCATAGCTCCAGTGGCTTCCTAATATCGGAAGAGCGTTCCAGACGGCCACAGTGTTTTGTGACGAATGAGGATTTTTTTCCCCTCTTAGCTGTGCTCGTCAACCACTGCCAGCGTAGCAGCAGCATCAACCAAATCAATAGTTACGGAGCAGTTTTCTGTGCTCGCACAATCTGGGGTGTTACTTGCCGTGCGCATGTGAAAGTAACGAAACATTTTTTTGCAGGAGAATGCGTGAACGCTGAACGATGTCGTCTGCCCTACCGTTTGTCGCTTTAACAATGGCTGCACCTGTATACGAACTGAACTAACCTCGTGAGCATGTCGTGGTGGTGGTGCTCACTAACAGCACTTGCCCCAATAAGTCTTTTCAGGCTTTACGGGGCATCTTTGCTTTTGTGGGTGGTTTTCGAAACGATCGCTTGTAACTCTTTGGGATTCTGGGTTAAAATCTGCATGAGCCAGTCTGTTCACTCTGCTGCTTCGGTGAAGTTTCTTCTCGTTCGTAATCGCAATAACTCCACTTGATAAATCGTAACAAATTCCTTCTTCTTCGGCACGACTATGTTTTTTTTTTATCATTCACTTTCAGTCTGCAATGATTCGCGTTTGTCACACGCACTGCCACCCTAAGCCTCCTCCACTGACAAACTCGCGCTATGCGGGAAGCTATGCGGTTTTGTATCGGAAAATCTCTCAAAGACATTATTTAAGTGTTACGATCATAATTTTCTACAGGAAAACTGTTGCAAATAATTGAAAGTGGCTTCCCACTCGAAAAGGAACATGGAGCAATGCTCATCTCTTGTTTACAGGCCCCGGAGCCAGTGATAGAAATCCCACATTTCCATGACGAGGGTGAATTTATCCACAAGATAACCCGGTGTTGTCAGCAGTTGACGACGAATTAAATTGACCGGGAGACTTTGAGGGTTGGGTAGCTGAGGTCGGCACGGCCAATCGCATTGGAACGAGGGTTCTCGGGCGTCGGGAGAAATTCGATGGCCTCGACCCGGCAGCCAACGAACGTACGCGGGGCGATGGCAACTGCTTGCGTGAGAGTTTTCCTGAAAGGATTCTTCTCCGTCTCGAGTGTTTGTTATGCCACGTAGCACTCTTGGCTGGCACGGTGCCTGGAAGCACGCCGGTTCCCAATCGGAAGGTCACGGGTTCTCAAATCCTGGCACCGGGTGACTTTGGCGTTCCGTCTATCCGTGACCGATAAAAATTTAGTTGGGAAATCAGCGGTCATTTCCTTACGGACGCACTCTCACCCCCTTGTCACGGTAACGTGGAGCTTGTTACTACCGGCTCGGGGCTATAAACGGGCGGCGAGCTCCGCCGCGCGCGAATTTGAGCGGGCAACCACTTTGACATTTCCCTTTTGGGTTCATCTTCCCACGCACCAAAGGGGGACACTTTTCCACGCACCGCATCGATCTCTGGAAGCGCGCCTGCATCAGCTGTCGTTTCCCCACCCTCCCCCTCGGCGCCCCCGTGTGCCCTCCGCCGCAGCTGAACGTGGAGAGCAAGCAGGAGGAGTTCTCCCGGCGGCTGGACGAGCTCGAGTCGTGGCTCGCGGAGGCGAAGGGCGCGCTCGCCAGCCAGCCCGTGAGCGGCGAGCTGCCCGACATCCAGAGGCAGCAGGAGAAGCACCAGGTGAGGGGTCTCGTGACGCGGGGACAACGGCCCTTGTCGTCGTCGTCGTGTGCCGTTTGTGCGGGAACGCGGCTTACAAAAAATATACCAGCCCTCTGACTCCCCCCCCTTCCCCAGCAGAGTGGTAGTTATTTTATGGACTTCGAGGCGATATTGAGTCAATCCCTGCCCCGCGCCTCGAATCAGTGCAGCGAGTGGTTGAAGGTCTCCGACACCGATTCGGTTTGGTTCTGCACCTTTTGTGGGTTAAAGTCGGGTGAACGGATGCAGCGGCTCGAGACTCCACAGCACCCCGTGACTTCCACGTCGTTCACCCGCTCCTCCGTCCCTCCGTCGTCCTCCCTCCCCCCCCCCCCCCCCACACACCACCCCGCCGTGCTTCCAGGCGCTGCAGAGGGAGCTGATGGGGCGCGGCGCGGAGGTGACCGCCACGGTGTGCGCTGTGCGCGACTTCCTGCGCGAGAACGGCGCCCGCCTCGACCCCGAGTACGTGGCGCGCACGCACGAGCGTCTGAGCGCGCTGGGCAGCCTCCACGAGGCCGCGACGCGGCTCTCCGGAGAGGCGCAGCAGAGGCTCAACGAGGCGCTCGGAGACGTCATCAAGCAGCAGACCGAGAAGGTGCGGCATCGCGAGACGAGGCTGTGAGCTGCTGCTGCTGCTGGTGTGTGTCTGTGTGTCAGTGTGTGCCGACAACGATGACCGGTAGCAATGGTGTCAAGATTGGCTTCTGTGGTGGAGGAGGCTGGTGAAGGGCGCTACCGGGGAGCGGTGGTGTAGCGGTCAGCGCGCTGCGCTACAAACCCGGCGACCCGAGTTCGATTCCCGCTCACGACCAACACCGGTGACGATTATCTGAACCGGTCCTGGGCCTCCCCTAGGTTGACTCAGCCTCAAATGAGTACCTGGTGTGGTGTGTAAACATCGCCACTCATAGGTGCTCGCTAACAGTACTTACACCAACAGTCTGTTGAATGCTATACAGGGGATCTTTGTTTTTGCCAATGACGACGACCATATCACTGGTGTCAAGATTGGCTTCTGTGGTGGAAGAGGCTGGTGAAGGACGCTACCGGGCAGTTAGAGGCAGTCGCCCTCCAACAACGGCGGAGGGTAGAGGAGCAACCCTCACAACAACGAGCGGAGTGCAGGGCGGCTAAAATACAGCCAGTTGGCACAATAGGGGGCACAAGTGGTGCATCCGCCAGTTATCTCAGTCGGTCAACCCAAAGCACCTGGGTCTGTCCCGTGGCCTCCTGCCAACGAGCCTTTGACACTTCACGTGGCCTGAAAGTGCACATAGCCTGGCACAAGTCCTGTGGTAATGCCACCGCCACTTAGTGACGAATGGCGGTTGTTGTTGTTGTGTGCATGTTGGGTCGTAGTCTCGAAGTACACCAGCCTGGCACAAGTACTGTGGTGACATCACCGCCGCTTAATGATGAAAGCAGCTCTTGTATCCGCAACATAAAATATTTTCGAACATTACCGAACCGCTTTTTCAAACCCTCGGAAAACATCTCACGATCAAGATAGGGGCCCGTTTTAGTCGCAATTTCATTATTCAAAACAAACCGCGCTTTTAATTCCGGTCCTGGCTGCAGGTGGCGACGGAGGAGCAACTTGAGGACATCCGCGGGAAGACGGGAGCACTGCTGCAGTGGCTCACTGAGCTGGAGTCCCGGCAACAGCGGACGAAGGAGGAGGAGGGGGAGGAGATGGACGGGACCCGGTCCCCTGAGATGGGGAGCGTTGGGTTGTCCGAGTTGCTCCACCAAGCGAAGGTGGGCACCCTGCGCAGAACGATCCGGGCTGGGTTGTGAGAGCCCTCTACGAAGTTATTATTGAGATTGCTTAGATCAATTTCAATGCTATACATTATTCTTTGGTTTTTTCGGTAAAGTCACGTATAAAGATAAAATAATAAATTAAATAATAGCATACGACGTTTCGATTGCAACACACGCAATCATCATGTGTTGCAATCAAAACGTCGTATGCTATTATTTAATTTATTATTTTATCTTTATACGTGACTTTACCGAAAAAACCAAAGAATAATTCCTGCAGTCACGAAAGTTCCAAAATTAATGCTATACATTGTCCACGTGATGATAAGCCACTATTATTTGCGGCCAGGTCGCTTCTGGAAACGAAGCTACTAGCTCAGTGGGCTTTACCTGGTAGAATAAAAAATAGTTTAGTTTCATTTTTATTTTTTTGCGATTTGTTTAACTTTCCTATACTCTTCACTCCTTTCGTGTTTTTTTATTGTTTGTCGTTGTAACGTTCTGACCTGCCCCGACTGGACATCTGTGAAGAAGAGCTTTACAGCTCATCGAATTCCTCCAGGAGGAATAAATATTCTGATGCTGACGTTTCCACAACCATTTGAGGAGCCAGGCCTGGCCAAACCCGGTTCGGTTACAGTTCTAGCCCAGGAGTGGCACCGCATCCTTCTGTAGGGTTGCATGCTTCGTCACCCACAAGGCACCTTTCCTACGTCGCCACATGCCCCTCTCCTCCTCTTTACCATCTACAGCCAGGGTTTGGGGGTTGGCAAGTATTTTTTATTCGTAAAAGTTTGTTTTTTGACAACCATGAAAGCAGGCTTGGGTTCGGGTAAGGGCTGTATTTCTCCCTGAATGTTGTCTGGGTAGGTGGTAGACTGGAGTAGGAGTGTGACTCAAAGCCTCAATCATTTCGAGTGGTATATTGAATGTGGCGTCTCTGCTATGCAAATATATTCCACGTTGACCCGGACAGACCCAGCTGATAGCATATGTTTATACAAACTCGTGCATTTGTCGGGTCAGTCTGGTAAGGCTGCCGTAAGGAATGCGGGCCTGGCCCAACCCTGTTCACGAACCAAGCCGACACCCTTCCCAGCGGTCATGGAGACACGGAAATTGTAATTCAGCAGCAGCAGCGATTCCACGCAGGCTGCGGTAGTCTGCGCAGATTAAGGACTTGAGAGAGAGATGCCCTCTCCGCTCGGATGTTGTCTCTCCCCTTCCACGTGCCCTCTACAGCAACGAGCGACGCCTCTTGCGTGCCGACCCCCAGCCAACCGGCACTCGTCAGCGAATGTGTTGCTGACGTCTGGTGTATGTGTGGAGGTTGAATCGTAATCATTATCAATGACAGCGATGGTGATGGTCATGGCAGCGTTGGCTCTCTTGATCATAATGTTGATGGCCAAACGTGTTCTTGAAAATGTTTAGATGATTTTTCACTGTATAGTCAACATAGTGTAAATTCATGACTTTAAGTATGCTTGAAATCGTGCTGTGACGGTTCCACCTGAAGACGGAAGCTTGTGTTGCCTCCGAAACATCGTGATTTTTATTTTATTTTTATTTTACTTTTATTAATTTAATTTTTTTGCCTTCGTTGACTTTCGCCATCAAACTTTAGGTGAGATTTTTTAAAGAGGCGATAACTCATTGTGAATACCTTTCTGAATACGAACGACTCAAAACACACCCACTGCCCCCCGCCCGCTGCGCTGCCGCCTGTTCCCCGTTCGCGCCCTTTCGCAGGCCGAACACCAGGAGGTCCTGTCTCGGCAGCAGGCCGTCATCGTGGCCACGCAGCTCTGCCAGGCGCTGCTCGAGCGCCACGCCTCCAGGCTGGCGCCCGACGACGCGGCGCAGCTGCGGCGGGCGTGCGACGAGCTCGGGCTCCGCTATGACGCGGCGCTCTCCCGTTGCGGGGCGCGCCTGCGGCCGCTCGAGTCCGCGAGCGACGCTCTGGCCAAGCTCGATGGCGACTGCGCCGAGTTCGAGGCGTGGCTGACGAACGCCCGGGACGTCCTCGCGACGTCGTTCGCCGGGAGCGGCGGCGGCGGCGAGGAGGAGGTGGTGGCGGAGGACGAGGACGTTCTGGCCGCCAGGTTGCGCCGGCAGCGCGAGTTCGCGGAGGACGTGGTGTCGCGACGCGGCGACCTGCGCTACCTGGGCGTGGCGGCGCGCCGCGCCACCGAGGCCTCGGCCTCCGCGGGGCCCGAGGTGGCGGCCGTTTGCGGCGCCGTCCAGCGGCGGCTCGAGGGCATGGAGGCGCGGTACAGCACGCTGCACGTCGAGGCGAGTGGCCGCGGGGGCCTTTGGTGCAGGCGATCACCGGGAACGACGACGATGATGTTTGACCGTCGTCATGCTTATAAATTAAAAAAAACCTAGAGTGGTACAGCAGAGAAACGCGCATCAAAATCAGGAACATTTTGATAAAATGAGGGCATGAGCTGACCAGTAGAGTGAACAAAAATGTTCAGTCGAGAAAACTAACAGCATGTTGTGACCACCAATGCGAACGCAGGATCTCAGCGGTGCCAGGTAATTTCACTGACCTCTGAGTTAACCCGGCCAACTGAGACAATTGCAATTAAGCTGCAAATTAATGCGTATTTCTTCTTTCACGTAAAATTTTCGTTTGATGTCGACGACGATGAAAATAATTGTTTTGTTTCAAATAGAGCATGATGATCCTCTTTTTTATTTTCTCTTGGCCGCCCTCCATCGGCGTTAACAACACCGATATTTCGGTCTAACGCCCGCGCTCTCTCCCCCCTCTCGCCCCCTCCCCCCGTACAGTGCGTGCAGCTGGGCTCCCGCTTCTCGGAGGCCCTCGGCCTTCGCGCCGAGTTCCAACGCGCGTCGGCGGAGCTAAGCGAGCGGCTTCGCGCGGCGGAGGGCCGCAACGCCGGCCAGGCCGCCGAGCCTGCCGCGTCGGAGCCCGCGGGGCTGCAGAGCCAGCTGGACCAAGCGACGGTGAGTCGTGCGAGCGGCGCGCGGCACGGCGAGCCGTCGTTGCCGCCGTCGTCGTCGTCGCGTTAACTCCTATTTCCCGAGACGTCTGCAAGTTAAAACTAAACTATTTCTTTTTTACCAGCCAAGGCCCGCTGAGCTATACGGCTCAGCTCGACGAAGTGGCTTATCACGTGGAAACTTCTAGCAGACAAATACGTGACCACGGGGAGAACATTCAAACTCCAAATATACAGCAGGCGTCAGGATCGGGATCGAACCCACAACCTCCTGTATACCGGGCGAGGCAGTTAACATCTCGCCACAGCGGAGAGTTGCAGTTCAGGTCTAGTTCACCTCTGAACCTCGGATCGCGTAAGCGGTTAGCGTAAATTTTATTCAGAGGAGGCATAGCGCCATTGTTTTACAGAAGTACTCACCGCAGGGAACCGTAGCGACACGACCGCACTCTATGATAACTGGCGCCAAACTGTGACACACGCCCTCCCGCATGGCCTTTTACTTCTGCTTCTATTCCGATGACGTAAATGTATAGAATCAGAATGGAATCAGAAGAAAAACTAATGACGTACACACTCAGAGCACGAGTCGGTCCCACCTAAGGTTTTAGTCATGTGGATTTATTTACATGGCCAATGTAAGAGTGAATCATCAGCAGCTGACGCTTTTTAGAACTGAAAAACACATTGGCTTGACATTAATGTAAATAAATCCGATAAACGAGTCCATTGTCACTGCTTGACACGAACACATTGAACTCCCTACGGGATTTAAACTACGCGTGATCTCGCAAGATGTGACAGAGGTCACCTTGAGGCTCGCCGTGATGCGTGTCGTCGCGAGTTTCATTCACGTCCTGTTTTGTTTTCAGGCGCTTCAAGGCGACGTGTCTACCCTTCAGCCGATGCTGGAGAAGCTCAAGCGATCGACCTCTTCGCTGCTCGAAGTTGGGGAAGATCTCGGCGTGAATCGGCCGGCGATTGAACAAGCTCTTGGTAAATTATGTGTTCGCAAAAAACACTTCATGCGAGCATTTATAACGTTGCAGCAACGTAGCGGTTAAAGGTGGAGCCCAGCTGTTGCTTGCTCACAACACTGCTGGCAGAAAGGGCCTCCACTATTAAAGGAGCACCATGGAGCCTCTGTAGAGGCTCCATGGTGGGAGTACCCACGCTTTACCCCATCTCGCGTGGCCTGCCGATCGACTAACTGCGCTGTACCCATTTATACTGCTGGGTGGACAGAGGTGGAGGGGGTAGATTTAAGAAACTCGCTTTACCGAGAGAACTCTGGATTGCAAGGCCAGTGTGCTGACCATCACATCAGGGCAGCATCCTCTACGTTGTAGTCGTAACGTATACGTACACCTCCCTTCGTTCCACGAGAAACTTTATTCGCTCGGCGGCCTCGGCATTAGGGTCTCGTGGGCGGGCCGCCCTGGGGTTGGCAAGCCGCGAGAGAGAGAGCGTGGCGCCGACAAATACAGTGAGGGAAAAAAGTATTTGATCCCCCTGCTGATTTTGTACGTTTGCCCACTGACAAAGAAATGATCAGTCTATAATTGTAATGGTAGGTTTATTTGGACAGTGAGAGACAGAATAACAACAAAAAAATCAAGAAAAACCCATGTCAAAAATGTTATAAATTGAATTGCATTTTAATGAGGGAAATAAGTACTTGACCCCTCTGCAAAACATGACTTAGTACTTGGTGGCAAAACCCTTGTTGGCAATCACAGAGCTCAGCAGGGGATCAAATACTTTTTTCCCTCACTGTACTTACGAGCGCGCCGGAACCTCCTCCCCGGAGTTCACACCGAACGTCTCCAACTTCTAACCACCGACCCCCCCTGCCCCCGACTCCCGACCCCCTGACCCTCTGACCCCCTGACCGCGTGCGGCGCAGACGAGCTGACGGCGCGAGCGGACTGCCTGCGCGCGTCCGCGGCGGGGCGGAGCGAGCAACTGCGGCGAGCGGTCGCGCGCTCGCTGGGCGCACGTGAGGGCCTCGACGCCGCCGCCCGGTGGCTCGCGGAGGCCGAGCGCGAGGCGGCCGCGAGGACGCCCCCGGGGCCGCTGTCGTCCGCGGCGGTCCGCGACGAGGTGGCCAAGAACGAGGTGGGTCGCCGCTCCGGAAGGGAGATGCTGGGGGGGAGGGGGGCCGGGGGGGGGACAAGTGTGGGAGGAAATAATAAAATAAAATAAAACATAATAATATAATTCTCACGACGTTTCGGCCACAACGCAAGCAGCCGTCCTCAGGTGAAGAACAGGTCTGTCGAGAAGACAGAGTCTATTCAGACTCTGTCTTCTCGACATTATTTCCATTCTACGTGACTTTACCGAAAGAACCAAGAAGATGAATACCTGCAGTCACAAAAGCTTTAAATCGAAATTTAAGTGTGGGAGGGTCGTGTTTTTATTTTTTACGATCGCGGTTGCAGAGCACAGGCCTAAGTGGGCCCTCGAAACGCCAAGCGGCCAGAAACAAACTGCACTGTTGAAAGCGTGATAGGTAAGGGTTGATAGGTCTCTTGAATTCAGCAAGGTTAATATCAGGACTTGGTCAGGGGAAAAGAGACGGACGATGGGAGAGAAGTCAACGTTGAGACGTGCGAGTGAGGAGCAGACGGAGAAATATATATTGATCCCAGTGAACATTTATTTTTCACGCAGTACGTAACGGCGCGAATATAACCAGCGCGAACTGCGTGGGCCGCGGGCCCGCATCGCGTGACCGGGCCCAACCTTGCCGTGGTCTCGGGGGGCGGCCGCATTGCGGGTCGCATCACTGCTACCGGGCCGGCGTGAGGGGCGGCAGGCCTGCGCGATGTTGCGTCCGCTGCAAGCGGTTGTTTCGCGTGGACCCATTTTAGCCGACGCCATTTTTAGAGAGCGGGCAGCTTGGGTAATACTTGCTCTGGACGCTCAGCTGGTGTGTCTCCTAACTGTTCGGGTCCCTGAGTTCTTCAGATCGCCTTCTTATCAGTACTGCCAAGGTCAAGGCACATTTCCTGGGATAATTGGGCGTTTGCCAGTGCAGCTCTCAGGCTTTGGAACACTTTGCCTTTGATAGTAAGACAGAGTCATTCGATATACTTAAGTCTGTCTTGAAAACTCACCTCTTTAAGTTTAACACGTAGGCTTTCGCGACCAATTTGTCACGTAAACGAAGCGTCTTAATTAGTTACTACTACTACTTCATCACATCCTTAAATTGGCCTTTAACCTCTAGTTTTTCCCGTTTACCCTGCAGGTTCTATTTATTTTGTGCTTTGCATACACGGTGGCACATTGGGATCTACTGACATAATTATTATGGTGGTTAGATGTTAACTACCCCGCCTGATTATTCAGGTCGTGAGTCCGATCCTGACCCTGACGCCTGCTGTATATTCGGAGTTTATATGTCTCTCTCCCCGTGGTCGCGTGGATTTTTCTCTGGGACCTGCAGTTTTTTCCCTCCGCATTCAGAATTAACATCACGTGTTCAGAGTTTTTGGCTGCCGTTCATTTGCACGTGATGATAAGCCACTTTGCTGAGCTATCATTTGTGGCCAGATCGCTTCTGAAAAATAACTATATAGCTCAGTGGGCCTTACCTGGTAAAATAAAAATAGGAAAAATAGCGTACGAACGATGAGACTTCCGGTGCAGTCACGGTTGTGCTGGGCGGCTCTCCGATGTCCGACGTTTCGTTACACGTGCCGGGAGCTTTTTCAAAGTACTCGCTTTCTCCCACGATTATCGAGCGATGCCGGCGCTTGGCGTCAATAACCGGCAACGCCGAAAAAATAAATGCTGTGCTGCCGCCCATTTAGGCCATGCAACAGGAGCTGGCGAGCCACCAGGGCGCGCTGGCCACCATCGCCGAGAGGCTGGGAGATCCGGCGAGCGCTGCCGAGGAGCCACCGGGCGGTGGGGTCCTCCGTGAGGATCTCGCCGCCGTCACCCGGCGCTTCAGCAAGCTGTCCACGCAGTGCCAGGTGGGCCGCACACAAATCCCTCGGCTCTCGATCCACGGCTCCCCGGCGCGTTTCCCGCGGCGCGATGTCCGATGTTTCGCTCCGCCTGCTGGGGTCTTCTTCAGGAACGTGTTTGGCCGAGTCGACGACACGTGCTAAAAACGTGTGAACATATCGGAAGCAGGTGATGTACACAGATCGAAGTCTGTCTTCTTTAGGCCAGAGGTCGCAACCGGGTACCCGATACCCGTATCCTACCCGATATCCGGCTACTCGTACCCGACCGGTTGCCCGTTTGCGACCCTGGTGCGGCCGGGTACGGGTACGGGTAAGGAATCAAAACTCGTTTGCGACCTCTGCTTTAGGCACCTTGCTGTGGTGCTTTCATCATTAACAAAATAAACAATCAGACAATGCACCTCCTTGCACATCCCATCAGCTCTTTTTGTGTGGACGGGCAAAGCGCATCGTCTGCCTATTTAATCCAGTACTTATTGTCTACACGGTGGCGCAAATTAAATTTTGTGTGTTTCACGTTCCGCCTCTTGTCGTGTGACCTTGGCAGGAGCGCAAGGAGAAGTTGCTACGGCTCACGGAGAAGGTGGAGGAGTTCGAAGAGGGGGCCGTCTCATTGCAGCGCGCCATTACCAAGGACTCGCAAGCCTTTGAGAAGGAAGCCAATGGGCCCAATGCTGACCTGGAGCAGATAGCAAAACTTCTGGAGGTGAGCCTCGATGCCAGGAGTGTTTTTTTTTTATCGGTTCAAAGGAGCTCGTTTTGTCAGCCTTCTTAGAATGCCCCCAGGTTTTTTTTTTAGGACATGCTTGCTGCTTTGAAGAAGGGCCATCGCCCTGGACTTCAGCTGATTACTCGTACAACTCTTCTTATTTTTAGTTGGGGGGGGGGGCTCTATTGGTGAATCTTATTTCTCATCTTCATCCATGGAAACTTCTGTTATCCATGATGCTATCTCATGTTAAACAATCGCATGAATATCACGCCCTTTTCCCACGGAAAACCACGGTAAACCATTATTGTATTTTTATGACATAGTTGGGAATAATTTTGTACAATTATTTTCGACTTTTGTCTTGTGGCGATGTTTACCCATCGCACCAGGTACTCGTTTAAAGATGAGTCCACCTAGGGGAGGCCCAAGATAATTATTTTTCATTTCAATCATTAAATTTGTTGAGCCAGCTGGGCCAGGATTGGGCAAAACCTCGCCCACGTTTTACCCAGGCAACTTAAGAGCACGGACTAAGTGACACTAAAATAACATTCAAACTAACATCAACATATTGAAGAAACACATATCAGAGAAAAACAACATATATACTATGAGACCTCCTTTACCAGTGGCAAAATATAGTAGTAGGTTTTTACCCTTTAAACTGGTACAAAACTGACACCTTTATACAAGGCATCATGTTTGCAATAACCACAACACAAGTAGTCAAAATGCAAACAAAAAGAAACAACTCTGATAATGATAATAATATGCACTGTCCTTGAAGTTGATTGGTCCACACCCGAGACAGCTTTCCTTAGAGCCTAGTCTCCATTGGTGTTGGACCAGATGACACCAAAAGGCGTACCTTTTTGACTACTTGTGTTGTGGTTATTGCAAACATGATGTCTTGTATAAAGGTGTCAGTTTTGTACCAGTTTAAAGGGTAAAAACCTACTACAACATACATACTGTTAAAAGTAGAATACATTTGTTTTAATTCATCACTGTTGTTGGCCGTGAGCGTGAATCTAACTCGGGTCACAGGGTTCGTAGTGCCCTCTTGGGACAAGCGCTCAGAAAAAGGGGAAGGAGGAGCGACTTTGAGCGGTGCACCCGTGCCGTTGGTGTGAGCGCAGGAGTCGGCCGGAGAGCTGGCGAATCGGCGCAAGGCCCTGGAAGGCTTGCGCGACCTCCTCGCCGGTGACCTCGCCGACCCGAGCCCCTTCGCGGACACCGGCGGTCTGGCCCGCACGCTGTCCGTCCTCGGCGAGTCGTGCGAGGTGCTGGAGCGAGCCCTCCACGCCAGGTGTGAGGTTTTTGCGAGACAGGATTTCGGAGCTGTACACTTTTATAGGGCTATAGAGAGAAAGGGAGAGCAAATTCCATGGTATAAATGTGTAGCGTGTCCTACATGAGAGAGCCAACGTGCTGTGGTGAAATAAATAATAATCCGCTCCGCTCTGTCATTCCACTGGTGGATGATAGCCTCCGCACACCACGTCGCTTTTGGGTGCTACTTAAGCGTACTTCACCGCGCTCATCAGTACGCGTTGGTGAAGGGCGGCTCCAAGCAGCGGTTCAGATCTCACTCACCCATGGTCTAGAATCGAACTCTGGTCACCGGGTTCACACTGTGGCGCTGCGGCCACTGCGCCGCCACTCTTCCCACGAGCGAATTGATGGATCGTCGTTTCGAAACAATTTGACTCCCGTAACGTGACCATAAGAGTGGATTTTCATCGGTGATATATGTATGTTGAACTTCTTTCACACCGTACGTAGCCAACCGTGCTAATCGGAGGTGCGGGAAATGATAATCGCATCGTCACGTGTTTACTGCCCCCCCGCCCACCCCCGGCACTCTCCCCCTCCCCCCGGTCAGGGAGGAGAACCTGGCCTCGTGCCGCCAGCAGATGGAGCAGTTCCAGTGCGCCATCGCTGAGGTGCAGGCCTGGCTGGAGGAGGCGGAGTCCCGTGTTCCGTCGGAGCAGACCACGCTGAGCACCGACGCGCTCCAGGAGCAGCTGAATTCAGTGCAGGTGGGGTGCAGCGTGATGCATCGGTGGCTCCGAAGGGGGGGGGGGGTGGGGGGCTTTTGCTCTTTGAACCCTCCATTCACTGAGGTTGTGGGGTGGATCCCGACCTCGACGCCTCCAGTATATTTGGAGTTTGCGTGTCTCTCTCTCCCCGTGGCGGCGTGGATTTTTCTCCGGGTTGTCCGGTTTTTCTCTCCACATGTAGAATCAACATCGCGCGTTTAAGAGCATCTGGCCGCAATAAATGTCCAGATGATAACAAGCCACTTCGTTGAGATATCAATTGTGGCCAGGTCTCGTCTGAAGAAGAGCTATAGCTCACTGGGCCTTACCTGGTAAAACGAATTTTATATACATATTTAGTTTCATACAGGTACGGCCCAGGATACGGGCACCTCGACGCCAGTGGAAAGGAAGTTTCACAAGGTGTGTGCCGTGATGCACCAACCCCCGCTGCCTCCGCAGCGCTTAGATTACAGGCCACGTGCAGCAGCATAGCCACCACGGCCCATTTCAATCTGTTCTCTCATCTTGTAGCGAGTGGTAAAATAAAAATAGAATCGGGGTGCGAACTATGAGACTTCCGGTCGACCTTTTCGCGGTTGTGCTGCGCAACTTGGCTTCATATTCTTAGGTTTTTTCGGTAAAGTCACGTAGGTAAAAAACATTAAAAAGTAAAATAAAATAAAAATCACGACGTTTCGGAGGCAACACAAGCTTCCGTCTTCAGGTGGTACCGTCACAGCCACGACAGCTGTATCAGGTAAATGAGAGATTGCAGAAGCCACCACTCCGTTTATATAATGGTTGGAGGAGGTGGTGGAACGTGACTTTACCGAAAAAATCTAAGAATATGAATCATTGCAGTCACGAAAGCTTCAAATCTAGAACTTGGCTTCAACATTGTTCGTGACTAATTGCTGCTTTGGCGGCGGCGGTGGCGGCGGCGGCGGTTTCCGGCAGACGGTGCTGACCGAGTGGGAGGGGAAGGCGAGCGCGGTGCGTGGAGTGGTTGAGAGAGCGAGCGAGACCGCGCGGGCACGGAGCTCGGTGACGCCGCCAGCCCACGACGCCGCTCCCACACCCGGTGAGGGCCCCCCAACTCACCGCTCCCTTCCCCCCACACAACACAGAGACGACCTCGGCACAATTCCACGGGTGTCACTCTGTAGTCGCCACCGATGGCTTGCTATTACCGCTGTCATGGTCTGTATCATCATTGACATTATATGAGCAATCATAACCACCATCACCATCATCATCATCGTCAAAAAACGTAACTACAGGGGGCCCAACACCTGCAGGGGCAGCACTAACGTCCTCGTGCGGTTGATTCACCAAGTCTCTCGGGCATTCTGGAGCCGTCTCGGGGCATTCCTGCCCATTAGACAGTGCTGCTTAATGCGTCGCTCATCCTTCCCCCCCCCCCCTCACCTCTCATGCCCATCAGACATAGACGCAGACGTAGATTTCACAGTGTCCAAAGGTGCACTCGCAAACAGCAGGGTAGGCACAACTCCCATCACCGCTCCTTGCTCGCACGTCACGTGGCCACCACGTTGGGACGCACGATACCGACAGCCTCGCCTCAGCCGCCAGCTCGCCGGGGCTGTCCGTGCGGCCGTGTCATCGTTTGGGGCCCGCCGACTCAACAAGCCCGTCCCTCCCACCCCCCAACAGACGTGGTGGAGGTACGACGGGAGGCCCTGGCCGTCGAGGCGCGCTACTCCGACCTGGGCGTGCGTCTGCGCGAGCGCTCGGGGCGCCTCTCGGGTGCCCTGGCGAGGACCTCGTGGGTGCTGGAGGAGGCTGACGCTCTGCTCGCGTGGCTGGAGGAGCGGGCGCAGCTCACGGCCGCCTGGGGCCCCGTGCCCGCCGAGCCCGACGCCGTGAGGGCGGAGGCCGACAAGCACAAGGCAAGAACGCGCGGGGATCCGCGTACTTTGTTTTCGTCGCTGTCTGGTTTTTTTCGCTTGCCGGAGTAAAGGGGCCTGTCGCGGTGTGTTTCGAGGCCCTCCTGATACTTTCATAATCGGAATGTTTGTTTTGACTGGAGGAGGAATTCTGATGAAGCTGTGAAGCGCTGTTTCACTGATGTCCAGTAGGGGCGTGGGGAAGGTTTGCGAGTTACATCAGCAAACCATACAACAAGCGATGTAAGAGGAGCAAGATAGAGAACGTGATTCGTACCTGGGTGCCCCCAACGCACACTGACCAGCGCGGTGAAGTTTGGCAAGACAAATCCCACGCATGACCTTTATCCAGCGGTGGATTGACACAGCTCTCTAAAGAATTATTATCTTTATTATTAATTTAAACAAATCCCACGTTATTATTCCAACTGCTGTTGATGGATTGTCTCTCAAACCGAGCCACCTTGGGTCAGAAAACAGACCCTGGCTCAAACCGAGATGCGAGCCCAGGATATCAGCGATGCCATCTCATTGTTTCTGGCCTTTGAACCAGGCAAAAAAATATAATGGTGGTACGACTGGTCAGACATGCATGAGCTCCATCGCTTGTCGTATCACTTTGATGAAAATGATGATGTACGCATGTTGAACTTCTCTCGCACCATACAAAGCCAACCGCGCTAATCAGAGACGCGTGATGACAGCGGTGACGCTGACAGTCCTCTCTCTCCTCTCACACCTCCATCGTTTTGTCCCCTCCGCGACACCAGGCCTTCCAGGAGGACCTGGAGGACAAGGCCCCGCGCATCCAGAAGGTGACGCAGCTGCTGAGCGAGCTTCTGGAGTCGTCCGCGGACGACCCTGACGCGGACGCCCTGCGCAAGCGGCTGGACACCATCGGTGCGGGTTCACGTCCACGCTTCGTTTCCCCATCGCTCCTCGTCTTCCGTCGCTCGTCGCGTTTGCGGAAGACGAGGAAGCCAGGCGTCCTCCCAACGCTGCGCTTTCTCTAGTCGTGGACAATCGCTTCCCGTAAAAACAGGGGTGGGAAAACCTATGGCGCGCGACTCATTCAAAAGGCAAGGGGGGAAGAGTGGCGGTGCATTGGTTAGCGTAATGTTGTTATAAGTGCAGTGACCTTAGTTCGATTCCTGGTGACGGGTAACAGGGGCGAACCAACCTGGACGAACCAGTATGGCCACACGACCCCACAACTGACATGTCATCCAACAGCGGATTTATAGAAACATGAAACGAATAAGAATAAAGGCTGCATCGTTAGCCTTGAGCCAATTACGCTGCTGCAATGCACCGTGAATGACAAAGGTGCCAGTTGTGTCTCGCATTCATCGTTCGCCTCCACCTCGTCGTCTTTCCATAGGACGCAACCGACCCCTTACGACCCCTGACCCCTTATGACCCCTGACCCCCCCCCCCATGGTCTTTTTTCCCCCTGCGCCGGCACAGAGCGCGGCTGGAGCGAGGTGCGGGCAGGGGCGGAGGAGCGGGCGCGCCGTCTGGAGGAGTCCTGCGGCCTTCACGAGACGTTCAGCGCCGCCCTGGCGCAGCTCTCGCCGTGGCTCGCTGAGAAGCGGCTCATGGCGAGCGTGCTGGGGCCGCTGGCGCTCGACCCCAACATGCTGACCAATCAGAGGCAGCAAGTGCAGGTGAGGTCACGCTCATTACACAGCGGTGTAGCGGTTAGCGCTAAGCTGCGCTATGAAGCCGGCCAACCGAGTTCGATTCCTGCTAATGGCCAACACCAGTGACGATTTTCAGAACCGGTCCTGGGCCTCCCCTAGGTCGACTCAGCCTACAATGAATACCTGGTGTGTTGTGTAAACATCGCCACTTGGGAGACAAAGGCGACCGGGCGTGGTGTTGGCCACCCACCCCCTCGTGTGCCGTGCCAGCCTTCATAGGTGCCCGTTAACAGCACTTGCCCCAACAGTCTGTTAAGGCTCTACTGGGGGATCATTGTCTTCTATTACACACAAAGTGCTTGCCACAGATGAACCACAATACCTCGCCCATCTCGTCAAGGAACGTAAATCATCATCATCATGCCAACTCCGGTCATCCTCGCAGCAGCAGCAGCAGCAGCTGCTTTTGGCTGAGCCATCGAACAAAGACGGTCACTGCGTCGCGCACTTTCAGATGCGGCTTCTGTGGCCGTCTGGAACGCTCTTTCCTTCCGATGTTAGGAAGCCACTGGAGCTGTGCACTTTTAAATCATCTAAATTGAAAACTAATTTCTTTAGAAGTGCATTTGTGTGTTTAGTTTGTTCTTCAGCTCCGATTAGTTACATACAAAATAAGTTTAACATACATACATACATACCAGGAGCGCTTTGAACGGTTGCAACCACATATCAATATTCGTCCAACATTGGCATTGTTTATTGGGATACTGCAGATCATAGGTGCTCGCTAACAGTGTCTGTTAAAAAAATATACGGGGTGGGGGGGAGATATTTGTCTTTTTCCTTTGTGTGCTCGTGTGTGTGTGTATACTGTTAAACCTTGTACATGTTCAGGTGTGTGTATTTACGTGAGATGTTGGTGCATGTACGTACGTTGAACTTCTTTCGCGCCGTACGTAGCCAACCGTGCTGATCGGAGGTGCGAATACGAGATCAGTGGCGGGGCGGAGATCCGCCATCGTGGTGGATCGTGGCCTCGCTCGACTCTTGACGAATAAAACCTCCCGCACGCGCGCCCTCTCCACAGTTCATGCTGCGCGAGTTCGAGACCCGCAAGCCGCAGCACGAGCAGCTGAACCGCGTGGCGCGAGGCATCCTCGGCGACGACACCGATTCCGCCAAAGACGGCGGCTCCGGAGAGGTGGAGGAGGAGGACGAGGAAAGCAAGGCCCTCCTGCGCGAGCAGCTGGCGTCGGTGAACGCCGCTTGGGACGGCCTGACCGGGGAGCTCCACGACCGAGCCCAGAGGGTGGAGGACGCCGTGCGGGAGAGCGGGCGGCTTGCCACGGCCCTGGCCCAGCTGGCGGAGGGCACGGCGGCGCTGGCGCGCGGCCTGGAGGAGGGGCAGCCCCCCGTCGCGGCGACGCCGGACGCGCTGGTGGTGCAGCTGCGGCGGGCGGAGGAGACGATGGCGGCGGTGGCGGCGCTGGCGCCCGTGGCCGAGGAGGCCCGCGAGCGAAGCGAGAAGCTCGGGGACGTCGTTGGCGAGGCCTACCTGCAGGCCGAGCTCAGGCGGAGGCTTGACGTCGCGCTCCAGCCGTTCAAGGAGCTGGAAGAAAGAGCGAGTGAGTATAAGGGAATTCTAAGCAACGTTTTGATTTCACTGTATATCGACGATGGCGATAGTAAGCTGTAGCAATACGTTGCCGAGAATAGTGACGGTGCTGATGATGGTGATCTTAATACCAATCCGCAGGTAAGCGCCTGGAGCTGGTGCAGGAGGCGCTGCAGTGCTCGCGGAAGTTCTCTGAGTCTCTCGAGGAGCTGGCAACGTGGGTGACGGAGATGCGTGCCGAGCTGGCCCGGTTCCCCCCGGTGTCCATAGAGCACGGGTCCGTGCAGGCCCAGCTGGAGCGGCAGGAGGAGTTCCTGGGTCGCGTGACGGCCCGCGAGGGCTCCTTCCAGACGATCGTTGCGGACGGCGAGGTCGTGGCGCAGGCGCCTCCGGGCCCGTCGGGAGCGGAGGACGTGGCGTCGCTGGGTGGCCGGCTGGCCGAGCTGAAGGCGCGGTGGGAGGAACTGACGACGGAGGCGACGGCGAGGCGCAAGGCGATCCACAGGTGCGCCAAGAAGGTGCAGCGCTTCGAGGAGTTGAGGGAGGAGATCATCCGGCGCTTGACGGAGAGCGAGGAGAGGCTGGGACAGGTGGGCCAGGTGACCCTGTCGCTCGAGGAACTGGAGTCGCGGCTGGCGCAGACACAGGGCCTCCGACAGGACGTCGAGAAGCTGCAGGGCCCCCTGGAGCTGCTCACGTCTGCCGGCAGGGACCTCGCCGAGAGCTGCCCGGCCGACGCCGACTTCGTCGAGGGGCAGACGGCCGACATCGGCCGGCGCGTGGACTCCGCGATGGGCGAGGTGCAGACTAAGCTCGAGGTGACGGAGGCCGTCACCAAGCGGCTCAAGAGGTTCACGCGCGGCATCCGAACCGTCCAGGAGAAGCTCGCCGAGTCGCGGCGGCTGCTGGAGATGCACCGGTCCCTGGGAGCGCAGGCCGCCTCGAACGGCGGCCACCTGGAGAAGATGAGGGCGTGCCGCGACGGCCTGCACACCGCGTTGACGAAGGAGGCCGAGGACCTGCGGGCGGTCGCCCGCGAACTCGCCGAGCTGGCGCCGGGCGACGCGGCCGGCGCCGCAGAGCTCGCCGGGCAGGCGGAGCGCCTCACCGGCGAGCTGGCCAAGGCGGCCGCGGCCGTGGCGGAGAGCTGCGATGCCCTGGAGGAGAGGGCGCGGGGCATCGGGCGCCTCCGCGGCGTCGCTCGCGACCTCTTCGCGCGCCTCTCCGACCTGTCGGAGGAGCTCGACTCGCAGGGCCCGCCGGGGAGGGCCCCCGAAGCCCTCCGCTCGCAGCTCGCCGACATCGACCGCGCGGCGGCGGCCGCTGGCCAACTTGGCCGGGACATCGCCGACGCCGGGCTCGAGTGCCGGCGGCTGCTCGAGCAGGAGGAGGCAGAGGGGAAGGCCGGGAAGGCCGGGGAGCAGCCGGGCGCCGGCGAGGTGGAGCAGAGCGTCGAGCTGCAGGGCATGCGCCGCGAGACGGAGGCGCTGCAGAGGCAGTGCGCCCGCCTCGGCGAGAGGGCGGCGGCGCGCAAGGAGGAGGCGCGGACGGCGCTGGAGCGCGTGGAGGAGTTCTACCGGAGCCTGCGGCAGGTCACGGGCCTCCTGGAGCGCGCCGAGGAGAAGGAGGCCGCGCAGGGGCCCGTCGGGACGGAAATCGACCTCATCAATCAGCAGATGGCCGACTTCCAGGTGGGTCCCCGATTCTCGGTTGATTTGCAGGTGGCGCGCGCACGGCGCTACGAGGAGGGAATCGGGGGTGGGCGGATCGAGGGCGTGGATTGGAGTGGAACGTGGCAGGAAAACGCTGCGGATGTGATTCCGAAGTTGACGTTGTTACGCGTGCGCCGCGTGTCCCTGTGTCGGACGGCAAAGTGTCGGGTAAACAACTTGGAAGTTGCGTCTAGAACACGGCAGGAAATGTAAATGTCGTCCGGGATGATGAAGGTGGTGATGGGTGGGGCGTACGTGCATGATGGAGGGAGGGCAGATTGCCGAGACAGACATGGGAGCGGCACGCGGAGCGCGATTATCAGGTGGCGGCACTGTAAGAGCGATCCTTGCAAGTCAGGCGTCAACTTGGCAAAAACTGCAGGACCTCGTAGCAGGAGGGAAGGCAAGGTTGAGATAGCGTCAGTGGTATTGGATATCATCACCTGTTGACCTTGACCCACTTCGCTATATTTTAAAGAGGTAGGTTGTCGGTTTACAGATATTTTCCGAGCAGTTATGCTACGACAGCGCAGAAGACAACTGTGGTGGTTCAACTGTCTCTTACCACTGTTTATTGTTTATCCTGTTAGCAGTAAGTTTTTGGCACGGTTCGTGTAATTAATTTGCTGTTGTCTGCCCTTGTTAGTTTGTACATTCTCACCCTGCAATGTCCAGTCACTGCTGCCACTGCTGACGGTCTGAGGCTGTGGCCTCTGGGTCTCAATGTAACTCTGTGAATCTCCGTATAACTGAATGGGTCTCTATGGAACTCTATACATCTCGACGCAACTCTGTAGATCTCTATGTAACTGCGTAAGCTGCAGAGTCCGGCAAACTACCGCCACTGCCGACGGTGTTGGGCCCTGGTCTTCCGTGTTGAAGAGCTTATTTAGCTCCATGGGCCTCACCTCCTGAGATAAAACACTGTGACTTGAAAACGTATTGCTTTTTGTGTTTAGTTTGTTGGCCTCTCCCCCCCCCCACCACCGCGCACCTCCGATTAGCACGGTTGGTTACGTACGGTGCGAAAGAAGTTATACATACAGGGACTTCTCTGCTTACAAACGAGTTTGGTTCCAGAGTTATGTTTGTAAGTCGATTTGTTCGTAAGTCCAACTTTACTCCTGTAGATTGTATGGCGTGTACACTAAACACGGGGTATGATGGTTTTAAAAGTTGTATAATCTCCTGTACATGTAGATGCCACTGGTTCTTCATGTTCTATAGATGTAGATGCCACTGGTTCTTCACATTCTGCAGATGTAGATGCCACCACCGCCATCTATTGCATGGCAGTTGAACTTACGACTCTCGGTCCGAACAGGTAACTGGACATTCGGACGAGGTTTGTTCGTATCTATGAAAGTTCTCAAGTCGAATGTTCGTAAGTAGAGGAGTCCCTGTAGATAGTACAGCTCTGATTATGTGTGGCTTGCACAGACGTTTAAGCAACAGCAGGAGGAGACGTCGCTCCACAACAGCGTACACGATGAACGCCCTTTCTCTTTGTCCAACTCTTGCCGGGGTCGATAGCCAAGTCAGCCACACGCGTTACTGCCGCAGGATTCAACCTCGCGAGGTTACATTGCCACTCTGAGTCACTTGGCCCTGCTAAGTCGGTTTGGCTGATATCTTATTTTTTGTTCACTTGGCAAAGGGCGCTCACTCTGTGAACCGTGTACATCCACAATTATGCTTTGGATTAGCCGAGTGCCAAAACAAAGATTTGCCGTACAGCGTTGACAGGCTGTTGGGGCAAGCGCTGTTAGCGAGCACCTATGAAGGCCGGCATGACACACGAGGGGGTGGGTGACCAGCACCACAACCGGCCGCCTTTGTCTCCCTTGTGGCGATGTTTTATACCCCTTCAGCAAGTACTAATTTGAAGCTGAGTTGACCTAGGGGAGGCCAAAAAAACCGGTTCGGATAATAGACGCCGGTGTTGGCAGCGAGCGGGAATTGAACTCGGGTTCAGCGGGGTTCGTGGCACAACGTGCTAACCGCTCCGCCACCGCTCCCCAGTGGCGAAACGCACGCCGCTACCCATGCCGTGCCAACGGGAACCTTCAGTGCCACTCTCGTATTCCGCACGCGGTTGCACAGCAGGCTACCGGTGCACTGCAATGTTTGGCTGGTGGAAAATTGAGTGGCTTTTAAGTTTATTTTTTACCCTTTTTCATTCGGCGTTCGAGCTCGCGTCTTCTCTTCGTGTGCAGCGGTCGGGCGATGCTCTCGAGGAGCATTGCTCCCGAAAGTTTCCAACCGAGCGAAAGAAAAATACAAAGTGCTGAAAAGTAAACCAGTGCTGCTGCTTTTCTTCGCTGATCAAAATCTCGAGGCCCGCCCCCCCTCCACCACCACCTTCCCGAGTGAGTTTGTGCGAGCCTCTGTCAGACGCTTGGCACGCGGCTGCCCGTGGCAGCATTTTCCCGGCAAGGCGGGAGAGCACAGTGCCGCTGAATGGAACGCGCCGTGAAGTGGAGGCGGCCTGCTTGGACTGTGTTTGTGTGTGACTACGGGGACTGTGTGTGTGTGAGACTACGAGGACTGTGGGATCGCGGCGGGCACAGCTGCGACGGCGGTGTCTGCGCCGGGCCCGGCCCAGTGGAGCAGATGGCGTTTTCATTTACTGCGCACACAACTTTTGTGTCAGCTCTCGTCGGTCACCTCGCTACGCCCACCTCAACACCCCCCCTCCCTTAAAAACTCTTTCATTCTCCAAACAGCGCTCTGCCCCAAACCGCCCACCCACTGATCCACTCACCCATCCATCCACTCACTCACCCACCCATCCATCGACCCATTCATCGACCCACCCACGCAATCATCCACACTTACAACTATCCACATATTCAACCACACTCACGCATCCACCCATCCCTCCTCTCAGCCATCTACCCAAGCACCCGTTAAACCACTCACCCATCCAGCTACTCAGCCAATTACACATCCCACCACTCACCCACACGCTCGCTTACCCAACACACCGACCCGCCCACCGGCCCACAAACTCCCCACCCGCACACTTTAGCACCCTCCTACGCGCAATCACCGTGCCCAGGTTGGCGCCGCGAGCTTTGGCAGCGGCTGGGATTTGATGCGGCCCCGTTACCACCGTGAGAAAATCCACGCCGCAAAAAAGAGCGGCGTCACGGTCCAGCTGACACCCGAGCCGCTCGCATCTCCTTTTTTCTGCTTTTCTGTCGTCTCATTGGCCACCACCTTGGTGGCTATATTATGCAGCGTGCTGCGGAGTATGTTAAGCGAGTGTCCGTTACGATCACCAAGCCCGGGGCGGTGTGGTGGTCACAGCTCAGCACGCGGTTGCTAAGTTGCGATTTCATCTCGGGGGTCGAAAGCAATGCCCCTGTCCCCGCCATGAGAACGTGGAATTTCCACCGCTGGCTCGGCAGTAAACAGGAGATGAGAATTACCCCACATTGATTTGAGTAGGGACACGGTTTTGCTTTGTTGCAAAAGAACGATTAATGTGTAGCCCTTTCTCTGCCCGCTGTTGGATGAAGGTATCACCACGCTGTTGGTCACTGGCATGGGGTCAGCAACCTGCGGCTCAATAGCTGCATGCGGCAGCTCTTTCAAGAACTGCTTCGTGGCCGTTATTTGTCAAAGACCCACCGTCTCATATTCACGTGCATTGCGACTCTTGAAATATTGTGGGCTTTTTTTATGGAATTTTAAATGTTTAAAAATGGCTTTTCTTTTATTTTGGATGCCGACCCGTTGCCATGGGGGTTGTTTGGTCTATAATTCGGTACGGGTGCCCAGACATCACTTGCCAAGCATACCTTTTTTGCCACCCCCAAATTGTGGGGAGGGGGGGGGGAGTACGTTTTTGGATTTTATATATGCGAAAAACATCATCTTTCTCGCCCTTCCAAAACATCGAGAGGTGTTCAGTCACTCGTTCGCAATAGCCTCTAGTCGAGGTGCGAAGATGCATGGACTTGTCAACATCGTTTCTGAAGCTCACGATACAAAACGGTCGAATCACGAGAGTAAAAAAAACACAACGATGTTTTCTGTTCGTGTTTGTTGTTTTATGGCATGAGTTCCATGTAACCCCGCCAGCCACTCGTGGTGGCAACATTAAACAGGCGTAGACGCGGCACAACGTAACGTTCTGACCCACCCCTACCGAACATCTGTGAAAAAGAAATTGATAGCTCATCGGATCCCTCCGGTATAAACCAATTTTCTGATTCTGACAATGTCCACCGTTTCAAGATCGACAGGGCGCTCGCCACAGTGAAGCGGCAGCTCAGATCTCTGTACACCGAGATCCGCCAGCCAGCTTCGGGGAAAGAACTCCGCTTCTCCGAGGCGTGTTTACCAATTCGTGAAATTTCCCAAAAAAAAACTGAATGTCAGATTCCGAATGGAATCATGCCCCTCCGAATCGCGACAATTCATCGGATTGCTGGCAGTTTGGGAGCCCAGGTGAATTGTTACTTACACTGGCAGTGTGTACGCGTCGGCGATGCAGGCACGGTGACATGTCAAAGGGACTACCGGGGCTTCACAACGCGACACCACAGACTACGAACAACACTCCTCCTCCTCCTCGGCAGTCCATTGAAACGCCGTGCGAGTCTATGTCCACTACGGCCACTATTTTGGCTCGTTCCAAAAAACTGACCTTTGACCGTAACTGCCTGATCCTTGTGACCCAAGGGTTAGGCCATCTCATCCCCAAAGACACACACACACAGGCAGCCACGGAGGTCACGGAGAGCTGAATGTGCGTGTTTTTTTACGCGTGTTTATGTGCGCGGTTACGCGTGCGTGTGCGTGTTGACTCACGTGTTTACTAGGTGCTGGCCACCCACCCCCTCGTCTGCCGTGTCGGCCTTCATAGGTGCTAGTCGCTAACAGCACTTGTACCAACAGTCTGTTAAGGCTACACGGGTGATCTTTGTTTACTATGCGTGCGGGGAGCGGTGGCGCAGTGGTTCACGCAC